GCATTTTTGATTGGGAATTTTTCCCAAAATTGGCGGTGTGGCGCAGAAAGTTGTGGGACTAAGTGACTTGCACTATATAAAAAATAAAATCAACGTTTTGGTGATGAATCTGGAGGAGTAGAATTTGGAGATCTTGTAACCTTTCTAGGATAATGGGTTAGCATATCATAATAATTCCTAACTCTTATCTATAAAAAATTATGAACAATTTAGCAAAGAAACCAATCATGGTACCATTGATAAAACCATTACCACCTAAGAGCAGCCCATGTACACTTGAAAAGTCACAGAAACTTACTTTAAATCTTAATATTGAAAAAATTATTTCCTTCATTCTCAAAAGGCATATATTAGTTGAAGGGAGATAAAATTCATCAAAATTTTTAATAATGTTTTTTCCATCAATTGAATGCATTATTAGTAAATGGACTTTTTTACCTGCACAAAACGAACAAAAAAATTGTTTTAGCCAATCAGTAATCTTTAGCAAAGTATAGTAATGGAGAAGACTTAAAACTTCTTGCGGTAATTTATGGTGCTCTTGATCCACCAAAAAACGAAGGCGGCATTGGTAATAATGGATCTATCAGATCGATATTATCATCTAATGATGGCAATGGCAGTGATGGTGATGCAGGAATAAATGATTAAAACCTCATATTTACCATGAACAAGCACAGCAAATGACATTAATTTCAAATTATTAAAATGGATGTGTTCATGTTGACTCCAAATAGAAAGTGACATGGCTATAATCCACAAATATGAAATTCATTGGTATTGTGATTAAAACAGGTCTAGTATGAAACCCTGATTAAAACATATAGAAGAAATTTAACAAACATACCCTTCAATAGCTTTGTCAAATCATGATTACGATTAGCCAGATCTTTATCAAATGCATTGCCAGCCACTTCAACGAATCCTACTTGGGCACTTTCACCATGTAAATTCATATAAAGAATCCTGTCATGCTTGTCACCAATCTTCAATCTTTCATTCTCTTCTTTTCTACTATTCTTCTGGATTTTTATTGTTAAATTTTCCAACTCGCCACTATAACCAAAATGCATTAAAAAAAATAAAGACAAATTCAATCCAAAATGACAATTTAAAAAAAAAATGGTTACGTTTCCATCCAAAATTTGTCTTCTGTGTCTTGAAAAATTGCAGAAAACAAGGGATTTATAATTTCCTCACTGTATTTTAACTCAGATGAAGAGCTATCAGTTAGTGAACCCCGTTTTCTTATAAACTGACTTATACTAGTGTGTAAACAAACATTGGCTATAAATTTTTAGTGGAAATATAACAGTACAAATAAAAAGATATCAAATTCTCAAAACTTACAAAGTAATATAAATATGTTGATACCAAGTTAGTTCATAAACACTTTTATGAACATAGTTTCTGAAAGGTTTTTCGTATATTTCCGATAATAGAGGCTCAAGACTAGTGTAATTGTTATCCAAATAGTTTGAAGCAACTTGGTGATATTTGTTTATCAATATAACTGTTTCTCTCTTATTAGAAGTCAGTTGAATAGCTTCATTAATCCTATCTTCGGTCTATAGTCACAAAAGAATTTATACCTCTTAAATAATGTTTTAAACCTTAATTGATTTACAAAATATATCCACCTCATTCCATTGCTGTCTATATAAGTTCATCCTTTCATTACCAAGTGTATCATAAAGCTTTTTCGTATATGGATACTCTCTATCGAATAAAGTAATTATTCCATATTTTGTTAAATGATCTTTAATTCCAGCCAATGGATTTGCTGGGATAGCAGCAGCTTCTTTATTTTCTTTATTATGTTGTCGTCTAAGGAACAAACATTTTAATTTTAATTAACTAGAGTGACGACGAGTGGAAGGTGATAGCCACCACCACCATTCTTCTTAAAACACTTACCCACGTTCACCTCCCAGTTCATTTGTTCTGCTTCTTCCAACTCTTGATTTCACGTCTTTCGGCATGATTTCAAAAATTTATAAAAAAAATAAAGTTTGTGAATGATCGATGCGTACACATTAATTATTTATCCTATTGGTTTTTTTTATTTGGTAGGTCAGACGCGAATTGATTTTTTTTGGAAAAACAATAAAAACAATTTATTTTTTGACAGAGTCCAAGGTGACAAAACGTGAGTGTTGTTGTTTTGTTTGGTTTGGGTCTCCTAAAGAATACGTTTTAATAACTAACCAGAGGTACTATTTTTTATTTGTATTGATTGATATTTTTATTTTAGCTTATAAATATTTTAATTGGAATCAAAACGCGGAACAGATCTTGCTGGGTAATTACAAGATTTTCATTGGTAATATTTTGCTTTTCGTAATCATTAATAATACTATTATTATTAATATATAATTACAAGATGATGTCAAGGCAGCAGACTGTTGAAAAAGAAACATTTCGAAATGCGACATTTGATTATCGAAGATTGGCAGGTGTTGAAGCACGCACATCGCTTTGAACACTTTACAGTCATTCACACATGTTCCTCATGTTCACAAGGCTAATCTGACCAGCTCCGTCCTATGGATATAATGATGCTACAGAATTCCAGGGGGTTGGCGCATGGCCCTGGAGTTTACCGACCGAGACTGCATCGATCGTCAATGACGCTTTCACTAATCTTCCCAGACCAGAGATGGCTGCTGGCACGCTGGTCGAAAAGTCACCTGCAATGATCCCACCTCTAGGGCAATGATGGCTCTGTGGCCAAGATGTTGCAACTCTGAAGGAATATTAAGAGAATCTGCAACTCATTCCAAGTGTAGGAGGTCACAATCCAGAGCAGGGTTTGTGACCCTGAAATTGCATTTGGGCTCTGATGTTAAGAGGAAAGTTGTAAAATAGTGTTTGTTTTGTGTAATCACTTTCATAAATTCTCTGTTTTTTTGATACTAATTAATTTAATAATTTTGAGTAGGGGACTGGGTTGGGTTTTTGCCCAACCAGTCCTCTGTCATGTAGGTTAAAATTATTACACGATTATATACATCTTTGTCAGCAATATGGCCAACAAGAAAAAGTTATAAAAATGGCTCGGATTTTGTTTGGTATGTTATGTTATAAATTAATCATTCCCATAAATTTTCTGTTTCTCTTTAATTTTTGTTTGACCAACTGAATTTGTTTTTCAAATGGGGGTAGGGTTATTGGTGAGCAGGCATGCCACTGACAAGACAGGAGACACCTTTGAGATATACCAGCCAAACTCATAGAAAGGGATCTTTTGTCCAGACTTAGGGTCACATGGATGTTAAGCACAGAAAATGTACACTATCAATGTATATTTTTTTCAACAAAATAAACATTTAAATAATTAATTGTTAAATATTAATACTTTTCTTTTCATAAAAATTACAGCAACCCAGGACTCAAAACTCTGAATTCAGGGAAAATCCAAAACAGCAATCCAGGTTGCAACCTCCTGAGTTGGAGAATTTTGAATCAGGTACAAACTTTATTTTAGAGAGAGGTGATAACATGCAGCAATCATCACAAAAGCACCAGCTATCAGTGATCAATGCCATATGATAACAGCCAAGCCTGGTCTGAGGGGAAGATAAGGAAAAGTTTTGTTCAAAGCCTACCAACATGTTCAGGGAGCTTTCACCTGTGAAAAGAAAATTCCATGGTGCTGAAAAGTACTTGATTGTACCGACCTGCATGTTTGTGATAGGAAAATTTTAATTAAATCTGACCCCTGTGATCAACATCAGATTTATTATTCATAATTGATAATCATGAAAAATAATTTTATTTTGTGAACCCCAGAGATCTGGGTAGACATGCATTATTAAAAGTTTCATTTATGCATGGCCTTGGTATTGTTACTACCTGGGTGATGCAATTGTTTGTTATGTCAATGATGATATCAAATGTATTGAATAATCGTTATGATGAATATGGGGACAAAGGAATTCACACATTAGGAAAGTATTAAATAGCAATATTGTATTTATTTTATTTTTTATTTTAACCAAGATATATATCGAAAAAATATAAGATAAAAAAATTTCCAGAGTGATTGCATGGAATCCAAGGCTGGAACAATCACACTATTACATGTTCCAAGGTCAATCAAGCAATTATTGAATACATTGGTAATCTTATTGAAGAGGATAGGTTTGTATATACGCAATTTAAAATTTTTTAGGGTCATATCTTTCTTTGTTCTTGTAGGTAACATTTTAAAAATCAAATAATATAATAATCATTATATCAAATTTATTTGTAATTTAGGTTTTCAAAAATTGATAAAATTAATTTTCGAAAAAATTATAATATTTATAAAAATTTTCGCGTGAATGCACTTTTTTTTTTAGTCTTAACATCACACCTCCATCCTTGATTCCGTACTTCTTATCGATCTTTTTTTTAAATGTAAATAAACAATAATTATGAAATATGCGAATATTCTATAATTAATACTTACTTTATGGGCTAACTGATCATAAACTCGACATCCCGACTGGTAAAGAATTAAAAACAATATTGTCATCTTTATCTGATGTCATATTGTTAATCATTTGCTGAAATCATGATTTATTCGATAATGATTTGATTTTTGTCAATGATTGTTGAAATATCTGTAACAATTATAACGTATTCACTTATTCAATATACATATAGGTTTCTCAAATTTTATACGGGAAACAATATTGTTTTGATAATGATGTTTTTTTGATTTTCCTTATCATCATCATTATCAAGTTGATGTTAAAGTTAATAGTGAAGATGATGTTAATGATAATGGTGTAAGTAATTATTTCTCATCACCATCCTAAAAAAATGTGTAAAATATTTTAGTGATACAATTAATATAAAAAATTTAATCGATTATTATTATGACATACCAAAAGAATCAATTGTCTATAATTTTTTCTACAAGAAAATCCAAATTTAATTTTTTTCTTCTGAGTCCCAAATGTTCTTGGATATCATATGCGCTGTAAAAAGTTCTAACGTTTTTTGGGCTTTCAAAATGAATATATCCATAACTATAATTCTAGAGATTACTAAAATAAATAAATCACATGAGTCTTTAAATAAATAATACTTATTTGCAAGTTTTTTTTACCACTGTACATCTAAAAATATGATTATTCCAAATATTTGTCGAGAGATCATTGTAATTGATCCCAAGTAATTCGCCTTTGGTATAATTACTATACTTATGTCTTAATGTATTATTAAACGAACAACGAATTACTTTCTTTAGGATATTTGTTATGATTGTAGTTACATATTTTATTTTTTTTTAAAAAAAATACTTCTAATTAAAGAAGTCAAATCAGCAAAAATACTTTTAATTAAAAAGTCAAAAAGCTCAAGAAAAAAATTACTTCTAATAAAAGTAGTCTAAAAACATTTCTAATAAAGAAGCATCCAAACGAGAACAAACCACTTTTAATTAAAAAAATTAAAAATTCATTTTAATAAAAGAAGTCAAAACATGCTTCTAAATGAAAAAGCAAAATCACTCTTAATAAATTTAAACATTTGCTTATTTGTTTTTTTTAGTAAATTCAAATAGGTTCTTTATTTTATTAGATCAAAAAAATGATACACACTAATTTTTAAAATAAAAAAAATCTATTTCACTGTTTTAGTATAACTAACACAAAACAACA